GCAGTACTATTTCTCCAGAAGTTCGTTCGACTGCATTATTGAAACCCGTTAGTGTTATTCAACGCGGTATTATTTTATCTTCGAGTCTCATCTGTACGAGGACTCGAGGATGGATAATACACGCGCTGCTTCCGTCATCCACCATTATTCTTTTAACATCAGTATCTGCAATACGTAAAGTGATAACAAGAGCATCGTAGTGCGGGAAAGACAAACCGTCGGTATCTGATTTATCGAAGATGATACTATCTCGAGGTCATCATACCGTTCATGAGTGATCGACCGTTTTTGTGCGTAGTGATGAATTTTTCATGGTTGATTGCTGTGTCATCGCCTCCGCCGATGATCATCTGTACGGTACGAGCGGGAGAAGGCGGTTTTGGAGGTCCCTGGGGTTGTTCGCGTCCGCGGGCAAAGTTAACTCGTCCTCGGTCGCTCAGTAGTTCTTTCAGGTGTCCCCGATTTAGCATTCTTACTACCTCCTGCCGCAGGCCTATGCAATCCTCGATTTTATGACCTCTTTCCTGGTGGAATTCGATAAGAACATTCGACTTTTGGGTGCTCGGGTCAGATTTCATCTTTTGCGGCCATTGTACCTTTGGGCCGAGCTTCTCTAGGGCGTACACTATTGTTGAAGGAGAAACACAAAAATTATGATCAGATAAGAGCGGAGGCATACCTCTTTCATTTCGGTGTGGCACGGTGTGTCGAGGGGGAACATCTGTGTGCCGCGGAGGAGGTGGGATGGATGTCTTGACGTAGGGCTGATGTCTTTCTCGGCTGAGACGGGGTAACTGATCCCTTCGACCGTCATTACGACGATCTTTCCTTGCTTCAGTTTGAACTGACGTCAGCCGTTGTATCGGACCATTGAGGTCGTCCTCGTCGGCCCTTACATCGGCGCAATAGGCGTTGTGGATTTCTTCCCAAGTGGTGGGAGGGTATTTCATGAGCCTACTTAACAGCTTTCTGGTTGCTCTAGACCCATTCCTGCTTAACCCGTTCTGGAAGGCTGCTACCGCCATCCCCTCTGACACGTTTGGCAGGCTCATTCTCACCCTGTTAAATCGGGCTAGGAAGTCCTTGAGTCCCTCGCCGTGCGTCTGCCTAACGGCGAATATGTCATTTACCCTGGCTTCCGCCTTTTTAGCTCCCGCATGAGCGTTGACAAACTTGTCTGCCATTTCTTCGAACGTTGCTATCGACCGCGCTGGTAGTTGTGAATACTAGGTTATCGGCCAACGTCTCATTTTGGTAACAACTTTGGGGCGCCTGGTATTTTGTCGACCCTTTCTTGATGCTCCTTCATCTGGTCACGGAGTGCCTTATTCTCGTTTTCCATTTTCTCCATTTTCTTTAGGATGGCTGCGAGTGCGTCATTACCTGTGTTAATAGTAGTGTGAGTGTTACCTGTACGGGGGGCATCTTGTTCGCCGGCGATTGTTGTGACATCTATGTGTGCAATGTCTCTATTCTCCCTTTGAGCGGGTTTATCAAGTATGTTGTTCAGAGTGTTAGTCAGCCTCTCTTCCAGTAGTCTTTTTACCGCCGGTGGTGCCTCTCCTGTTGTAGACGTGGAGGCTTCCTTCTCGCGCGAAGCAGTTATGCTTTCATGCGGGGGAGGTGAAGCGTCACTCCTAGGTGTAGTGTTCGGTATCACATTTTCGTTGTCTTCCCTGCCGTCTTCGTTGATGGTGTTCAGGATGTTGGTTGTGACACCTGCTATTGCTTTTAACCTTGCATCTCCTTTTCCTGCCATTGTTAGTTTATGCAAAGCTAGGAAGAGGTGATTATCCCTTTTTATGATCTAGATGAAACTAAAATCTTAACTAAAGAAATCCCCACAGACGGCGCCAAATTGTTTGACCAAAAGATATCAAACCTTTTTGATTAAATCAATTAATGATGATGATGAGGTAAATGTTAGCCAAGCGTAATAAAATCTAGATCAAGTGATGGAAGAAGTAAGCAAGATGAATGATGTTCACTAATATGTTGGAGTCAAATAAATGCTCATAAATGCGATAACTTAAATGCACAATCAATCTTAGTAAATGCGATTGGCTTAGAAAAGGAATATGAATGAGATGATTGTGGAATCTTGAGATCTTCTCGATATCGTATAATGATATAAATTTTCGGTTGTGCAATCAATGAACAAGGCTGCTTTTGTATTCCCTCTCAGATGATTCTTTTACAAAGTGTTCTTTTGTCTTTTTTGTCTCGTCCCCCTATTCCTTTGCTCACTCTTCCTATTTATAAGGGACAATCCCCCAAAAACCCCTAAAAAGTACAACATAGAGAATATTCAAAAAGCATATTCTTACTGTCTCCTATTAAGCTTACGCTATCGTGGACGTCGTGCATCGACTGACCGCCTTTGATCGTTGCCTTTCACCACGACGACCATCAGACGTTGCATCACGATAACCTCGTTCCTTGTCCTACTCGGTAATGGTCGTGGTTTCCAAATTTGGACCCATACACCAATAAATTTGAATATTGAATGATTAAATAATATAAAGCTTAAAACATAGAAAAATAGGCTTAATAGACGGTGAATTTAAAGAGAGAAGTTATAAAGAACGAAAAATAAATTATGTTTTGTGATATAAAAGGTACAAATGTATGTTCACAATGGAAAAGAGAAAGAAAATGACTTCATCAAATCTACGTTGTCGATATAAAAATGATTTTAAAGCAAAAGATTAATGTTTACAAGAATAAGCATTAGTTTATTTCGACTCCACAACTCAAAACCCGAGATTATGCTTAAGACTCCAATCAAATCACACAGTTAAAATATTTAACGATGGTCCCTATATGGGATAAGAATAATAATACTGTACCAAATATTTAGTCAAATATAGGGTTAGATATGGTAGTGGTCCTCGTACACTAATTTATTGTATTTTTGGGGTCATTGCCAAGAGGTCAATGAAGGATCCAGCCTGCAGTGCAAGTTATTTCAAAGCTGTGGTGAAATTTTGCAATAACGGACGGAGTCCTACTAATCTTTTAATAACACAACTAATACTCAATTCCAAAAAACAAAAAAAAAAAAAAGAATGCAGACAACTTTCGTGGATGTGTTCATTAAAGCTTTTCTAATAACAAGTTGAGTTCTAATTCTCTAACAATAAGGAAATTAATTTAATCCTGGTTGCTTCCATAGACCGTCGACAAGCTAAGCCCCACATTGGTTTGCTGCCTTTCGTAACTCGTAAGGTACTACGGCATTAGTTTATATAATACTATGAGTGTCAATCATAATCAATATAAATGTAATTCGTTAAATCTAATAGCATGTTTGCCCAACTTTTAAAATCAACTTATTTTGAGAAGTGGTTTTTCTTAAAAGTACTTTTCAAAAAAGTGTTTTTGGGGATAGCAATTTGTGTTCGGCTAATTAAATTGAAAAGCACTTTTGAACAGTAATTAGTATTTGGCCAAGCTTTTAAAAACTGTTTCTAAGTGTATTTTTCTCAAAAGTGTTTCTCTGAAAAGTATTTTTGGAGATAAACTATTTTTTTTTGCTTCTCAAAAGCTGATGATGCTTCTCCTTAAAAGCACTTTTTTGGCCTTCTAAAAGCTTGGCCAAACACCTCAATTTTTTGAAGAAAAAATACTTTTGACCACAAAAAGTCACTTTTGGCCAAAAAAAAAAAAAAAAAAATTAGGCCAAACAGGCTATAAATCAGAGGGTTAAGTGAGTGATGCTTACTTAAGTGAGGTACTGCATATCAGATGATAAATGATAGTGTGTTTATGCGCTTAAATTTTATCTAGAAATTCAGTCTTTCACTTAATGCTAAATTCAAACCATGCTAAATAAAATTATTCTTCCCATACGAAATTTTTGAATAAGTAATTGTCTGATAATGAATAAAGTATATCCGTCCTTCTGCTAAACATGATGGATTGAACTCACAATTCATTAGATGCTTTTTATGAATGCTTTTTTAATAACCATAGTCATTCTTTAGTAAATGATCACTATGGATCAGACACAATAGAATTTGATCAATTCTATTTTGTCGTTAAGGTAGAGAGCTAAACCAAAAATTCTCTTTCTTCATCATCGATCACTATTCCAAGATTCTATTTTATCAAGCGAATCGAGAGTTTCTTGCTCAAAATACCGAACCTCTTCGTGATCGAGGGAGATTTTTCTGAAGCAGGATAATCTTATCCTTTAAGAGGTGTTTTTAGTTGGTTCTTAATTCCATCAACTTGCCCATCCAATTTTTGTATAATCAAGTATTAGTGTTGGAAATATTGATCCTAGTCCAGATTAGCTAGATTTGTTATACTAGTTTTATTTGTATTGGGCCAGGCCCACATAAGTTGTAATTATCTTTTACTTCTTTTTCTTCAGTTTTGCATAGTTAGGTCGGGTCCCATATAGGTAGACCCAAGAGGTCTGATACAAACAACTTGTACATTTTTCCATTTTTACAGATGAAAGAAAGCTTCTCTTCTCTCTCTCGACCATAGTAAACCCTAGCATAATTTTCATCGATTTCATCTCATTTCCGCTGTCAACATGGTATCAGAGCCCGGAATCTCGTAGATCTGGTTGTCCTCTATCGTCCGATGTTACCCTAGAAGAGTATCACCGGCATTTTCATTTGATCGGAGAATTTTTCTTCGTCTCGTCAGTTTTCGTTTTTTGTGAGATTGCTCGAGTTTTGTTGTTCGTTTTTGGGTTGTCTATCTCCGGCCGGTATCTGAGGTCCAAATTTTCGGTTGCAACGATGTATCTCAGCATTCAACCTTGCCTAATTTGAAGTCGTGGTTCTTCTGGATTTTCGGAGCATAGCTGGATAAATTCTTTTCATTTCAAGGCCGAATTCTTCCGGTTGCGAAGAATTGTGGTATATTCCTTCCTTTTGTTTACTGTTTTTCATCTTCGATTGCATGCCTTAGGGTTTATCGAAATTTTTACAAATCGACATTTTGTGTGGTTGCGTCTGCCTATTTTTGAGAGTTTTTGGATGATGGCTATCTCGTCGGGTACCTCTTCTTCCTCTCCTGTGGATAATTCTACTCCTGTTGAACATATTGCTACTAGTCGTCTTCCTTTTCATCCTGATGATTATACGCACCCATGCCACCCTCTATATGTGCATCCTTCTGACCTCCTAGGTTCTTCCTTGGTCACTGAGCCTTTTGATGGCTCTTGTTATGGGAGTTGGCAAAGGTCTATTTTAGTGGCTTTATTTCATTCATGGAACCTCTGAGAGACCTCCAAAAGGGTCTCCTCTTCTTCGCCAATGGCAAAGATGCAATGATTTAGTTGTTGCCTGGCTGGCTAACTCTGTGACCAAGGAAATCCATCGTATTGTTGTCTATTCTGAGTTTGCAAAGGACATTTGGAAGGAACTTGAGACCAGATATGTGAAAGCTGATGAGGCCATGGTCTTTGAGTTAAAAAAGGAGGTGGCTCATATTTCTCAGGGTGCCCTTGATATCTCTTCCTACTTCAACAAACTCAAACAGCTTTGGGATGAATTTGCCTCTCACTCTGCCAGTTCTGATGATAAGTGCACATGTAGAGGCAGTCTTAGGTCTGAGGAAAAACAAAAGGTCTATCAGTTCCTCATGGGGCTCAATGATATATTTTCAAGTCAGAAGTAACATATTGATGATCAAGCCCCTGCCTTCCATTGACACGGTCTACAGTATTCTTCTAAGTGACGAGAAACAGAGGCAGGTGTCTACTGGCTCTCATTTTTCCTCAGAATCAGCTTCCTTCAATGCTGGGTCTTCTAAGCAGCCTTACACTCCCAGGGTGAGTTTTGACAATCAAAGGGCTGCAATCACTTGCAAATACTGTAAGAAGCCTGGGCATAACATTGATAAGTGCTATAAGCTCCATGGCTATCCGCCAAATTTCAAATTCTCTAAGACTGCTGGTCCCAGGAAAGCTTCAGCACATAGTGCAGCTGATTCATTTGCATCTCAGGCATGTGTGTCTCATTCCAATGGTGGTGCTGTCCCAGCTGGTTTCTCTGATTCTTCTTCTGCTTTTCCTGGCTTGACAAAGGACCAATGTTCTCAACTGATCCAGCTCTTGCAACAAACTCATGTCACTCCTGATTCTTCTCAGTCACTCATGGCTTCTGCACATTTTGCTGGTAGGATAGCTACCTATAGTGTTCTTCTTAAGCCTGCGTTGTTTTCACAAGTTAGTATTTCTGATTGGATCATTGATTCTGGAGCATCTGACCATATGACCTCTCTCAAACTCCTCTTCAATATTCAACCTGTTACTATTCCTTGTCTTGTTTCTCTCCCAAATGGTTACAAAGTTAAAGCTACCAACTCTGAATCCTTAACTTTGTTTCCTAGTTTCACTCTTCACAATGTCCTTTATGTTCCTAGCTTTCACTACAATCTAATTTCAGTTCATAAGTTGGTTGATCAGTTTGATGGCATTGCACAGTTTACTAAGGTTTTATGTGTATTACAGGGCTCTTCTCTGAAGAAGCCTCTGGCTCTTGGTAAACTGGACAATGGGCTCTACAAGCTGCAAGTACCCATGTTTAGGCCTGATAATTGTGTTTCAAATTCTGTTTTTTCTTCTGCATGTACTGTTTCTGGTAGTTCTGTTGTTTCCTCTTGTAATTATGCACCTGCTGTTTCTAATAAAATGGATATTGTTTGGCATTTTAGACTTGGTCACATAACATTTTCTAGAATGAAGGGCATTCCTGTTCTTAGTCCTTGTCTCTCCTCTAAACAATCATTTCCTTGTCCTGTATGTCCTTTGGCTAGGCAAACCAGACTCCCTTTCCCTGATAGCACCATTCACTCTACTACTCCTTTTCAATTGATTCACATTGACACTTGGGGCCCTTACCACTCTCCTACTTCCCATGGTGCCAAGTATTTCCTTACTATTGTGGATGATTATTCTAGAGCTACTTGGACCCATTTGATGGGTGCTAAGAGCAATGCTTTTGATCTCCTCAAAGCTTTTATTGCTATGGTTGAAACTCATTTCTATACTCAGGTTCAAACAGTTAGAAGTGACAATGCTTTTGAACTGGGATCTAGTACTATTGGCTCTAAGTTCTTTTCTGACAAGGGTATTATTCATCAAACCACTTGTCCCCATACTCCACAACAAAATGGTGTTGTGGAGAGAAAGCATAGACATTTACTTGAAACTGCTAGGGCATTGTTATTCCAATCCAAACTTCCCATTTCTTTCTGGGGTAATTGCATCTGAACTACCACCTATCTCATTAACAGATTCCCCTCTCCCCTGTTACACCACAAAACTCCTTTTGAATTGCTTTATGGTTCACCTCCATCTATGGCCATCTTAGGGCTTTTGGTTGTTTGTGCTATGCTATTGTTCCTAGAGTCCTTAGAAATAAGTTTGATCCCAGGTCTGTTCCTTGCATTTTCCTGGGGTATCATTTTGCTAAAAAGGGTTACAAATTGTATAATCTTGTCGCCAAGTCTTATTTTGTTTCAAGGAATGTTCAGTTTCATAAACATATCTTTCCTTTCTCCTCTAGCACTTCCTCTTTTCCTTCTGTGTTTACTTCTTCTCCCTCTTTTCCTACTGATTTCCATCCTATCCCATGTCCTGGTCCTCCTCCTTCTTCTCGATCTCCTTCCTCTTCCCCTGTTCCTTCTGCCTCTCTCCCCTCCCCCCCTTGCCTCATTCTGACTCTCAAGCCTCATCTCCTCCTGTTGTTGCTCCTGTCAGGAGGTCCTCCAGGCCTCATAATCCTCTAACTTATCTGAAAGACTATGTTTGTTCCCTTCCCTCCTCTTCTCCTTCTTCCTCCCTCTCAGCTTTCTCTTCTTCTCAACCTTTGGCTGAACCTGCCACTTATTCTCAGGCTGCTGGTATACCTGAGTGGCAGGAAGTCATGACCAAGGAATTTAAAGCTTTGGAGGCTAATGGCACTTGGTCCATTGTTGAGCTTCCTCCAGGCAAGAAACCCATTGGTTGCAAGTGGGTGTATAAGGTCAAACAAAAGGCTGATAGGAGTATTGAGAGATACAAGGCTAGATTAGTTGTTAGGGGGGACACTTATGTTGAGGGTATTGATTTTCATGAAACTTTTTCACCTGTTGTGAAAATGTCCACAATTAGAACCCTGATTGTTGTTGCTGTTAAGAAGCATTGGCCTATGTTTCAATTGGATTTCAACAATGCCTTCTTACATGGTGACCTTGATGAGGAAGTTTTTATGAAGTTGCCTCCTGGTTACATTGTTTCTTGTCCCTCCTCTTCTGGGCAGTTGGTTTGCAAGTTGCAGAAGTCCCTTTATGGTCTTAGGCAAGCCTCAAGACAGTATGTCAAACTCTCTCAAGCCCTGTCTTCTAGGGGTTATCAGAATTCTCTCAATGACTACTCCCTGTTCACCAAGGTTTCTGGGGATTCTATTGTGGTCTTAGTTGTTTATGTGGATGATATTATTTTAACTGGGACTGATAGTGCTGAGATCCTTGCCCTTAAGTCTTTCCTTCACCAGCAGTTCAGAATCAAGGATTTGGGTTCCCTTAGTTATTTTTTGGGTAGAGGTTTTCTATTCAGCATCTAGGGTTCTCTTACATCAGAAGAAGTTTCTTCATGACCTTCTTATTGAGTTCCATTGTTCTGATGTCACACCTGTGGTTTGTCCCCTCCCTCAGTCAGTCAAGCTCAAGGCCAAGGAGGGGGTTCCTCTTCCTAAACCTGAGGTGTACAGGTCCTTGGTTGGGAAGCTGAATTTTCTCACCCATACCAGGTCTGATATCTCTTTTGCCGTGCAGCATCTTTCTCAGTTCGTGTAGTCCCCTTGTGTGCCTCATTTGGAGGCTGGTTTGCACTTGCTGAAGTACTTGAAGGGTACTACTGAGTTTGGTACCTTTCTCAACAATACCCCTGATTTTTCTGTTGCTGCTTTCTGTGATAGTGACTGGGCTGCTTGCCCAGACACTAGGAGATCTGTATCAGGTTTTTGTGTGCTCTTGGGGGGTAGTCTTGTGGGCAAGAAGTCTAAGAAACAGCCTGTGGTGTCCATGTCTTCTGCTGAGGCAGAATATAGAGCCATGAGCAAGGCTGTCAGTGAGGTTACTTGGCTGCACAGGTTGCTCTTGGATTTGGGTGTTTCCTATCCTTCTGCTATTCCCTTGTTCTGTGACAGCCAAGCTACTATTCACATTGCCAAGAACCCTGTTTTTCACGAAAGGACTAAGCATATTGACTTGGATTGTCATTTGGTCAGAACCAAGCTTGCTGAAGGTCTTATTCAACTGCTTCACACATCCTCCTCTACTCAGCTGGCTGATATCTTCACCAAATTTTTGGCTGGTGTTGCTCATCATGGTTTTCTCTCCAAGTTGGGGGTTTTGCCACCCTCCAACTTGAAGGGGGGTGTTGGAAATATTGATCCTAGTACAGATTAGCTAGATTTGTTATGCTAGTTTTATTTATATTGGGCCAGGCCCACATAAGTTGTAATTATCTTTTACTTCTTTTTCTTCAGTCTCGCATAGTTGGGCCGGGTCCCATATAGGTAGACCCAAGAGGTCTGATACAAACAACTTGTACATTTTTCCATTTTTACAGATGAAAGAAAGCTTCTCCTCTCTCTCGACCACAGTAAACCTAGTTTAATTTCCATCGATTTCATCTCATTTTCGCTGTCAACAATTAGTTTCAAGGTTTATTGACTGAGAAATTTTTTAACCGCAACAGAGTCTTTAACAACGTATGTTTGAGTCATGGGATATAAATTAAGTAAACAAAAGTAACATCTCAATTAGGCATTAAAAACTAGCTCAATTCATTTTTAGTTAGGATATTTCAAGAACATTGAAATATTAGCGATCGAGTATGTACTTGATTAAAATCAAAATGAATGGATAATTCATGTAAAATGTTTGGTTATAATAAATTCATTTTAAGTGTTAGATCAAATACAAAATATTAGATAAACAAAAACTAAATTAGATTGATCAAGAAAAGAAGGGAAACTAGTATTGTATAGCCGATCTCAAAATAATAACTAAAAAATATTTATTTTTTATATATAAATATACGCTTCTACTTGTTATGTTATATACAAGAAATATACAAATTTTATACACTTCTACGACTACCGAATGTAAATAGTGTCAGCTACGGGCAAAGGTATTCTCGCCCAGAGAAGTACTGAAAAGATTGTATAGGCGTTAGCTGTGTAATTAATTTTGTTCATTATCTCTCATTAGAATAATCTTTAGGGAAATTACCACCTATATCCATTTATAAGTAGTTTATTACAACAATTGATCAATTCATAAAATATTACTAATATTAGCCAAATATTACTATAATTCAATTAGCTATTTGTAGCAAAAAATGTCAAATTTTTGGTTTTTTTTTTTTAGTGGATGTTATTAGAATAGATTAGGTACATCTTGAGGAGCTTGAATCTCATTTTTTGGATGATTTGGTGAAGTTTTGAGGTGATTTGAATTAAAAATTCGAAGTAAAAACTGAACGTGAAAGAAAAATTATATATGTGTCACACTGTGTATCATTTATGTATCATATTTGTATCAATTGTGTATCACATGTATATCCATGTATACCTGTGTGAGACACACATGTTTGATACATGTGTCGCAGAAGAATCTTTTAAACTCGATTTAGTTACGAATTTTGATACAAAACCAGTCCAAATCACATCCGATCTTCCTCAAATTTTGTGTATTGACTTATCTATATGTTTTCAATGAATTTCAACTATACCCATTGAAAAAGTTCCTTTTTTGCTTAGATTTTTGCTTAGATTCTTGCATCTAATGTTGCTAATCACGCTTAAAGATATGAAAGGTGATTTTTGCATGTGATTCTTTGAGAGAAAGAACGTTATTTATTTGATTTTTTAATTTTTATGTGTTTGACTAGTTTTGGTAAGTCTATAACTAATGGCTAGAGGTTAGTAAGTTGAGACTTATTTGGGACATTTGTGTAAGTTTCCCTAATCTTTATGTAACTGGAATATAAAAGACGAACGGAAAATGAACAGAACTGAGGCAACTGAGTCCTTAATCTAGAAAGCGAATGGAATTTGTCCAAAAGGTAGCCCGAGTCTTTGTCAAGTCCAAAGTCTACAAAACGAAGTACATTGTACAATGAATAAACATCATATTTCTGAAAATGTCCTTCATGTCCTCTCCAAGTCCTAACTCCCACGTATTATATTAGTAGCAAATTTGCCAAACAAAAAATAGTTGAAAAGACAGAAATAAGCTTTTGAATTCCTACATGCTTGAAGCTTTAGAAGAAACGGAAGTCAGAAACAGTAAATAGGAGGTACCCTGTACACCGAGCTTCCAAATCACTGGTTCTTGAAAGACTGCAAAACTCAAATCAAGAAATAAATTAATAACTACAACAACAACATACCCGTATACTCCCACGAGTGGGGTCTAGAGAGGATAGCATGTACGCAGTCCTTACCCCTACCTAGTGAAGGTAGAGATGCTGTTTCCGAAAGACCCTCGGCTCAATACAACGAATCAGAGCAGTTACGACAAATAAATTAATCACTAGTACAAGGTTATTTATACTTGATTGCAAAAGCTTCAGATTTGATACCTCAAAATTTTTGGACACATCCTCCACCTTACTAGCAAGTTCTTGCCTCTTTTGCTGAGCTGCAAGTACCAAAACAAATGGTCACAACAGCCTGAAAGCTTCACGAGGACAAGGGAAATGCTGGACATAATAGTTACCCATTTTAGATAGATCCTCCATTCTCCTTGATGACCTCACTGCAAATCTTTGAAAAGCAGGGCTGCGATAAAGAGGAAGAACGCGTTTTAATAGGCATCTTCGGAATATAACATCTCAAGCAATACCAAAATTACTAAAAGGACTTTCAATTCTTTTCTCTGAGAAGAAAATACATCTATAAATTTTGGAAGAAAAAAAAATTAGACACCGTATAGTTCTCCTTTTACCCAGCAACCTAGTCACATGATGCAAAGTTCCTTAATCTCCTAAAAGATTAGACATCAGAATATATTACTAACAACTAGACTGCGTAATATTTCCGAAACAACTACGATGACTGCAAGAAATAGTAGGCGATAGAACAGACGAGGATGACTTAGTCCAATAAGCTATCACTTATTGTAAGGCAACTATAATTTGATAGATTTCTTGTTCTTTGTTTAGTTAAGACTGCACAAAATGAAAATCACCTTTTACTTTGCTTGTAGTTGCATAGCAAGAGACAAGGACTGGGATGCACTGCGACACAAGATTCACATATACGACAACACACAACAAAGCACCCTGGAATTGATGAAAGGACATCTTTGTTCCGGTCAAAGCAAATGACATCATGGAAACTAATACTTGTAAAAAATTTCTTTCTCAACATGCACTAAGATAGAATAATGATAAGAAGATTTACATCATCTCACAGTCTTACAAACGTACAAAATTAAAATAAGAAGATGATCAAGAAGCCTCAATTCATCAGATTTTTGAGAAGATGACCAATGATTGGTGACTTTTCCATAAGAAAGGTTGTTGTTTCTTTTATTGGTTATGGTTTTTTCTTAAAATTGAGCTTGACTAGCTTTTTTTTTGTTCAATCAGCTATCATATTTTGTGACTGTCCAATAATAAGCATGAGAAAGTGTCCGACTTTGTTTCACATTCAATGCTGAATGAGTTATCTTTTGAAGAAGTATAGATTCAGGAACAGCCAAACATGGGTGAATGTGATTAGTTTCAGAAATTAGGAGTTTCCACATTTTATATATTCAAAGAAGGAAAGCACATTCCCTTTGTAGCATTTATGCAATGGAAAAAGAAAAAGATTGAGAAACCAAAAAATAGACAAAACCAGAGAATAAAAATGAAGAGAACAACAAAATACAATAAATAAAATAGTGCTTTTCATAGGAACAGTGCTTTGCATTTCTGAACTTCAGCTATTGAAGGATTAAGAGCCAGAGGATTAGTTTTGTTCCTTTAACCTAAAGTGAGGTTTCAAATTTGCAATCAGATTAGTCAATTGTGGTGATTTCTTTCTTCTCTTTTTCCAAAGTACTACTTTATTTCATTTTGGGAGATGCTTCCTTCTCAATATTCAACTAAACTTTTTACCGATTCTAAAGTTGTGAAGAGGGTGTCCAGATTGGATCATAAAATTGAAATCCCATATCAAAATAGATGAGAACTGAGTACTATTTTTATGCTTAAATCACATTCAAAAATAGTTTTGAACCTTTGAATTCACTATAAAATGTAAACTAATGTCTAGTTATAATAGCATAGCTCACAAATGAAATTAACAAACACAAACTTGGATTTCTTTTATTTTTGGGAGATACTATCAGCGAAATCCTATAGCGGGCAGCAGAAAGATAACCCATTTCATACCTGACATTTACAGAACATGGGTTGACCTATATAATCCATCACTCAACCAGTATTAAATATGGGCGGCTTGGGTTTTAATCCATTGTTGTCCAACCTTGTTTACAACACGCCCAGACCCAATCCACCCCAACCCGCCCATTTGACAGCACTATGCATCACCAACAAATAAATGACAGAGCCATCTTAAGGTTCCTAATATTGGCATTCGACACACGTCTCACCAAGGTGGATTAGTTGCATCTTATTCATAGCGACGAGGTTTCTTCACTACTAAACTACCTCCTTAACTTGGATGACAAATTTGTCTTTATCGACTAGAAAAATTCAAACTTGGAGAGATATAAGACTTCAAAAAAGAAAAAAGATTAACAAAATCGGACAACAGCAGTACAACACAACAGTTTTGACTTTATCAATCATTGTAGTATATGCGCATTAATCAATCAAAAGAAAAAAAAACATTTTTGACTTGAAAAGTATCCGTTGCTCCCATCCCAATCAACTATTAGCAAAATTCAAACTACAATTTTGAATTTTAACAGAAAGAAATATATCAAAGCTCAATCAAATGATCAAGCAAAATTTGAGGTGCAACAAAAAGTAAAGATGATTCTTTTACTAGAGAATATATGCAGGAGATAGATTTTAATTAAGTTACAAAAGCGCTCAATGTTGTCACCCCCCGGTCCCGGCAATAACAATAACTAAATCTCACTTCTTCAATAAAGCTCAACAATTTTGACTTGAAAAGAATAAGAAAACTAAAATTTTGAAATTAAACGGAAAGAAATAACTCAAAGCTCAATCAAACAGTTTATAAAACTAATTACCTGTTGGCGAGGCCATTGACGATTAATTCATTGGCGACATAAGAAATAACTCTATGAAGGAAATTTGCTCCACCAGCCATGGATGAGATTGCACCAACTATCAACAATTAAGAAAATAAAGCAATAAATAAACAACTGTAGTTTTTTAAATAAGTAAAATCGAAAAGGTGAGCAAATGGAACGGACGAGATTGATGGAACCCTAACTTGGGTAACGAGGCATTGGCTAAACTGTAGGGGGAAAATAGTATTTATATATACGGTAATTGGACTAGTGGGCTATGTGGTCCGATTAATTATGGGATTACGGATATGGGCCAGCAGTAAGAAGATGAGGAGACCCGAAGAGGAGAAGAATTACCCAAATAGTCGCTTGCTTAAACTAAAAATACTTGGTGGAGACATAATATGTGCGTAATTTTTATATATTATATGTATATAATTATAGATAATCAATATATAATCTATATATAAGTAAACAATGGATATAGCCCGCTAAGCAAACTACATAGTACAACCAGCAAATGTATATTTTTGTATTTTTTTGTATTTTATACAAAAAATATTAACTATATTTTATATATAATCAGTATTTTTTTAAAATATTGGCTAGTGAGTAATTTTTTTTAGCTGACCGGCCAAATATATAGCTTGTCCAAGAAGAAACGGTTTCTCGAATGATTTTCTCCTACTTTTCCTTTAAGCATTTCATATGGTGTAGTACAATATTGACTCCATTGAATTGAACAGATGTAGAATGATATTCATGTTATAATGAACTGATATATTATTTAACTTCAAACTAATGTACATAATGAACTGAAATTCCTCTATATATAGAAGAAAGGAAGGTTTTGTGGCAAGCTGCTGTGTAAGTTGCTTGTAAGTCGCTACTGCAAGCTGCTTGTAAGCTGTTATTGTACCAGATATAGATAATCTTCTATCAGGGGTAATATTTATCCATAACGGAGTACCGAATTGATACGCTTCTTCAGGAGGCTTATTTCCAATAGAGTACTAAATAGATAAACATATTTACGGCGGAGCCCCATATGGATAAGCTTCTTCATGAAGCTTATTTACAATGAAGTACTAAATGAACATCCATAATATAATATATTTATAACACTCCCCCTTGGATGTTCATGAAAAGATAATGTGCCTCATTAAAACCGTACTAGAAAAAACTCCGAGGGAAAAAATCCTAGTAAAGGAAAAAGAGTACACATATTTAGTAATACGCATAGCTAGTTATCTCATTAAAAACCTTACAAGGAAAATCCTGTGGAAAAAACCTTAGTAAGGGAAAAAGAGTATAGCGCGTTTTTTACTCCTTCCGATGAAAATTTTTTTTCAAATATTTGAGTCTCCGTATTCCAATCTTGTATCTTCTCAAAAGTTGAAGTTGGCAAAAATTTAGTGAATAAATCTGCCGAATTATCACTTGAACGGATTTGTTGCACATCAATGTCACCATTTTTCTAAAGATCATATGTGTAGAATAAATTTGGTAAAATGTGCTTCGTTCTATCTTCTTTTATAAATCCTCCCTTCAATTGGGCTATGCATGCAACATTGTCTTCGTATAAATTGTGGGTCTTTTCTCACATTCAAAACCGTATTTTTCTCGAATAAAATAAATTATTGATCTCAACCATACACATTCTCTACTTACTTCATGAATAGCTATCATCTCAACATGATTTGAAGAAGTAGCAATAATAGATTGCTTTGTGAAGCGCCATGATATGGCAGCACCTCCACATATAAACACGTACCCGGTTTGAGTTCGAGCTTTAAGGGAATCAGATAAATAACCTGCATCTGCATAACCAACAAGATCTGCACTATCTTTGTTAGCATAATATAAACCCATATCATGAGTTCCCTTTAAATATCACAATATATGCTTAATCCCGTTCCAATGTCTTCGTGTAGGAGAAGAGCTATATCTTGCTAGTAAGTTAATAGAAAATGTTATGTCAGGACTTGTAACATTAGCAAGATACATAAGTGCACCAATTGCACTAAAATAGGGTATTTCGGGACCAAGGAGTTCCTCATCCTCTTCTGGAGGTCGGAACAGATCCTTATTCACTTCAAGTGATCGAACAACCATTGGTGTACTCAATGTGTCACGACCAAAAATTCAACTAGTCGTGATGTCACCAAACCCAACCCGCTAGGTAAGCCAATTAACCTCTATCCAATTCCAATGAAATTCAATAAGACAATTAAGTTAAATAAAATATCTTAATCTTATACGTTTTTCAAGGACTGGTAGTACAAATCATGAGTTGCGAAGATTAGAACTACAAAACTGGTATGAAATAAATACATCATCTGCTAGAAATATACATAAATAGATCTTTATGATTCTAAGGCTACCATGAACAAGATGCAGCTACAACCGGAACGCAGGTACGTCTTCAAATCCAGTTCTCGTCGAACACAGCAACATCAACATCCAAAATTTGCACGCAAGGTGCAAAAGTGCAGTATGAGTACAACCGACTCCATGTACTCAATAAGTAATAAACCTAACCTTAGGTTGAAAGTAGTGACGAGCTGGAACAAAGGTCGGGTCCGACTCCAATAGCCAACAAGAGTTAATAATAATATAATGCAAGTAATAAAAGAAGTATCTCAGAAATAGGATGCTTAGCTCGTTCACAGTTCCAGAAAATAGGCATGCTTTTCAAGTATCTCAGTGAAAACCCAAATCTTTTACCAAAATTGCCAAAAATATGAGTAGCTTGAAAACTGTATTTTTTCCAAAAATCCTTTCAACAATAATTAAGATTTTTTGTTTTCAGATAGCGTGAAGAAAGTACATCTCTATGCCTACTTGTCAAGATACAGGTAAAATTATGAATGTCACAAAAACCGGGTAGGTGAAGGAAATGCATCTCTAAGCATGTACCTCAAGTACGCATGTCAAATGCAATGTATCTCAGTGATAAACTCATGTACTCACACTCCCAGAGTACTCAATCTCACCGTATCGCATTCTCTCTCACCATGCTCAATACTCAGTACACTCAATCACTTAGCACTGTACACTACCTGCTGCAACGTGCAACCCGATCTACATACAGCTATAAGGCCCGTTGCGGTGGGCAACCCGATCCACCCACCCACCCACCCACCCACACACACACACACACACACACACACACACACACACACACACACATATATATATATATCCATAAGGCTTGCGGCGTGCAACCCGATCCATATATATATAGTCATAAGGCTCGTTGCGGCATGCAACTCGATCCATATATATATATATATAATCAACTACGCTCACTGGGGTGTGTGCAGACTCCGGAGAGGCTCCTTCAGCCTAAGCGCTATCATAAATCAGTAAAACCCGTTGCGGCGTGCAACCCGATCCCATAAAATGTAATCAGTATAACATGCTGCGGCGTGCAGCCCGATACCATAATATCACTCTCACTCAGGCCCTCGTCCTTACTCAGTCATCAATCTCTACAGCCTCTCGGGCTCACAATGCCATGAAACTAGCCCAAAATGATGATATGATGTGTCAATAAATGGTAACAGAGACTGAGATATGCTATTCATATGAATGCATATGACTGAGTATGTAAAGCAATGAAAGCAAATAACTCAACAGCAGAAATGACCTTAGTGGGTCCCAACAGGTTAAGCATGTAGCCTAGACATAGTTTCCAATATGGATCATAGCTCAATAGCTCAAGTACGTAGAAATTTCATGGTTACAGATAAGAAAAGGTAGCTACAAAGTACCAAAGGAATAATGGAATCACAACTTACACGGTGCACGCCAACACGCCTGTCACCTAGCATGTGCGTCACCTCAACACCAAACACATAACACATAATTCGGGGTTTCATACCCTCAGCACCAAGTTTAGAAGTGTTACTTACCTTGAACAAACCAAATCCAATACCTAGCAGGACCAGCGATGCTTCAAAAATGCCATCTCACGTGTACCAACCTCCGAACGGCTTGAAACTAGCTAAGAGCAACTCGAATATATCAAATAAGCCCAGAGAAATAATTCTAAATGATAAAGGTTGAATTCTTAATCAAAAGCCCAAAAATTGACCAAAAAGTACAACCCGGGCCCATGCCTCGGAACCCGACAAAACTCACAAAATCTGACTACTCATTCAATTACGAGTCCAACCATACTAGTTCCGCTCAAATCTGACTCCGAATCGATGTTCAAAACTCAAAAATTCATATTATGAAACTTTAGATAAAAACCCCCAAATTTCCATCTCAAAATACTAATTAAATGATGAAAACAATGATATATCGTGTATATTAACCAAATCCGAGTTAGAATCACTTACCCCGATGAATTTCTTGAAAACCCCACGAAAAATCGCCACAATCCGAGCTCCCAAAGTCCAAATGTGAAATAATACTCTAACGGTCGTTTATATAGTACAGAATCTGAACTCCCATTGTGCAGACCGCACATCCCAGGTCCCGCGGCCGCAAGTCTAAATTGTGCGGTCGTACTTCCATAGTGACTGCACTACTATATTTCAGTAAAATGCCCATAACTTTTGGTACAAATGTCCAAATTAAGATTAGTTTACCTTTCAGGAAACTAGACTCAAAGGGCTACAACTTTTGCTTTTGGATTATCTCCAAATTCCTTTTAGATCAAAAGATAAAAGCTTCTGAACTTAGACCATCGAAGCTGCAGAATCCCCTTTCTGCGGCCGCGAGAAGAATTCTCCGGACCGCACAATTTCAACTGCGGTCCGCACATTTTCAACTTCCTCTGCACTTTGGGAGTTTGCAGGCGCACATCCGCACTCCAAAACGTGCCCCCGCACTCTCAAAAGCTCCAGAACAACATAGAGTGCCAAAATGCCCAAACTTGTTCAAAACTCATCCTGAAACACATCCGAGCCACTCGGGACCCCGTCCGAATATACCAACAAGTCCCGTAACATAGCGCGGACCTACTCGAGGCTTCAAATCACACATAAGAACATCGAAACGACGAATCACACCTCAATTCAAACTTGATGAACTTTGAACTTTTCAACTTCCATAACTCGTGCCGAAACATAGCAAACCAATCCGGAATGAACCCAAATTTTGCACACAAGTCCCAAATGACATAACAAAGTTATTTCAATTCCCGAAACCACAATCCGAATCCGATATCATAAAATTCACTCCCGGTGAAACTTTTCAAAAATCCAACTTTCGCCATTTCAAAC